TAAATGTTCCGTTGTCATGTTCATGAGAGGAAAACAGGAAAGGAGGATGAGTGCAAAAGGTAGAACCATGATTTGGAGTTGTTCGTTGTTCTTGTTTGATACAATGGAGATTGGGAGTTTGTTCTTCCAACCAGATTCCTTTTTGTGGCAGTTGTGTCCTCCTGTTGCGAACACACCCATTCTGCAACGATAGCACGGAAGCACCAGCACCAACAATAAACAACGCCATTCCAAAATCGTGGACTGATTCAAATTGTATTCTTCTCTTGGTTTGCAAATCGTGGATAATCTCTACTGATTCATACATACATTCTGCTTGATTTTATGGGAAAACAAGAAAAAAAACAAATGAAACGGAAAACAAGAAACGAACAAGTTGAATTGAAATGAGACTGATCAACAGTGGTGGATATGAATATTTTCAAAAGGATGGTATGAAGGGACAGATATTATGGTACCATACTATATTATTAAGGTTACATACAGTACATGCATTGAAAAGACCCACTACATGGATAAATCCTCTTTTCAACTGTTGTTTTGGCCTTTTTGGAACAGAACCAACAAGTATGTCATCCCCAACCCCAGTTGAAAATGAGGGAACTTATAGCATGTTTCCATGTTGTCTGGGGATGTCGTCCGGGGGATGTCGTCCGGGGGATGTCGTCCGGGGGATGTCATCTGGGGACATCATCAGAGGACGTCGTCTGCGGACGTCCCCAGTTCATCTGGTGTGGACATCATCTGCGGACGTCATTTGGGGACGTTGTTTGGGGACATCGTTTGGGGACGTCGTCCGGGGATGTCATCTGAGGATGTCGTATGGGGTGGGGACATCATCTGGGGATGCCATATGGGGTGGGGACATCATCTGGGGACGTCGTCTGCGGACGTCGTTTGGGGACGTCGTATGGGGTGGGGACGTCCTCTGGGGATGTCAACGGGGGACGTCGTCCGGGGACGTCGTCTCGGGAATGTCGTCTCGGGAACGTTGTCTGGGGACGTCCTCTGGGGACGTCGTCTGGGGATGTCGTCTGGGGACGTCGTCTGGGGATGTCAACGGGGGACGTCGTCCTGGGACGTCGTCTGGGAACGTCACCAGAGGACGCATCACATCTTTGTAAAAAAAATTAATCTGATGTACTGGTCTGGTTGTCAGCAAGTGCCGTGTACATCTGTGCAGTTTGGATGGTGCCGGAGGTCCATCCAACAAGGTGGATGGTCAATGGCTTGGAATTTCCAGATAAAGACCCAAAATAATGTGATATACTTCTTCTTAGATATGACAAGGGGAAACTTTTTTATGCATTCTATGTAGTCTGGTGTCATTACTTGACCAAATTATTTGACCAACAAATAACACAACAATAAGCTCAAAGGGAAATTACAACTATTATGGATAGCAATAGCACACAGAATGAGGTGGAGAGTTGTCTGAAATAAAGTATGTTACAGTAACTATATGTAGAGACATGAAAATTACTGTTATATGTTGTGCTTAGGTATGATAAAGTGAAACTTGATGTGTAGTAATTACCATATGGTGGGCTTGCGGACCCATGCAATAAATATTAGAAACTAAGCTAGTAGTAGTTTCTTTACATCAAAGGGGATGGGAAAATGATCTGTTTTTCAGGATAGATATCTATTTCTTTGCATTCTTCACATTCTTTGCTTTCTTCTTTGATTGTAGTTTGGGCTTTTTTTGTTAAGCTGCATGAGTTTCTTCAGAGTGCTAAGTGAAGGTTAGGAATTCTTACAAAGAGCCACACCAGAAAATTTTGGTCCTGATATTTGTACCAAGGCTAGGGAAAATATGTGGGGGGCAACAACGAGCCCCTAAGGTTAGCCAAAGTAAAACTTCACATGAAAACAATACCATAAAATTGTAATAAACCAAAAAGTTAATCAATTAAATAAACACGTGTCATAGTAGGTGTATTACTAGAACAGTAAGTTGTTTGGCAAAAATTTTCATGAAAATATTTCTACAATGTGGGAGGGGATGAGCCCATTGTATTTACAATATTCAACCCCTAAGAAAAAATTATCAGAATGCATGCTTCTGTCTTATTTTAAGTTGTAGGAGCTGATACATCCATCAGAGCATTGATACCAGTACTCATGATGGTTACTCCTCAGACAAAGAACGTAGATGGGCATCAAGGAGATACAGTGATTGGGGTAATCTAACAATGTACAAATCATAACAAGGCAGTCATGAAAAATATTCTGGTGCTGTACGTTAAGCACAGATTTTTTAAGTGCACAAAGATGATGTTGTACAAGCCATCATTGCAGTAAACCTTGAAACCATGTTTGGTACAGACCCAGTTCCAGATAGCTTGGTGGTCACTGCAGCAAGAAGGTGAGGAGGGACTGTCAACGGTGCAATCACTGCTTCTTGCAGACACAACACACAAGACACAAGACACAATGCACAAGACACAAGACACAAGACACAACACACAAGACACAACGCACAAGACACAAGAACGCACAAGACACAATGCACAAGAC